ATCTGTGGCCTTAATACTTAAATGGGTGTTATTTTGGTATTTTTTCAGATTGCCATCAGGTAGCTGTGATCAGGAAATGGGCTTCCCTTTTCACTCTTCTTGAAAAATTTCAAGATGCCACTGTTGGTTGTTTTGACGTAATTTAGGATTTACTTTTTAGCCTATTTCCTTTTTTATCTGCTTGTCCCGCTCCACAATCCCCATTCAGGCATTTTTTCTAGTAAAAAACAGTTCAGGGCCGGCTGTGGCTGTTTGGTTTTATGTGGAAACTGCCTCTTTAAATTTCAATGAGATCTGTGCACATACGTAGTAGAACCCTCTGAGTTGTGGGGCTGGGGTGTCCACTAGCTCAGCCACCCTTATAGTCAGTCACTAGAATGGAAGTGTACAGACAGCAAGAGACCAATGAACAGATCCCCAAAGAAAAGAATGTCCACACCTTTATCTCCATGGTTCTGTCAGGTGTCCGTGGCTGCTCTGATCCTTCCCCTGCTTGGTCTCACCCAAGATGGCGGCTCCTGGAGCAGCTGAGTGTCTAGAATTAGAAAGCAATGGATTTCTTGCTTCTGTTACTAATTCTCCTAGCTATAAGCCTTCCAACCTTCTAAATATTCCTTTATATGTGGTTCAGAGTTCTGGGACCATCCCCTGAACGTGCTTGGTCCTATAGTCTGTGTTGTTGCTGATGGAACTCCTCACTACATTTCCACCCCATCCACCATCTTGTTTGTTCTCCAGTTTTTCTTTTTTTAAATTTTTTATTGTGAATTGAGTAATCATCAGTTTACATTTATTGTGAATTGAGCAGATCATCAGTGTACATTCAACATATCCACAATGATTGCAATCCCTTCTATGTCCCAACAGTTAACTGTAGTTACATCTGTTAACTTTAATATTGCATTCTGCCCTGTGTCTCTTGCTACCTTCATCTTTCCTCTGCTAACCCCTCTTGTTGTATATTGCCTGCCCTGTCACCCACGTTAACATGTATCTACCCTCTAGTCTGTGAATAATCTCTTGCACTACTCCAACGATCGTAGGTTGTTTCTTTTATCAAGAAGACCTTTTAAAAAACTTTTTACAACATTGGTCTCATACAGTATTTGTCCTTTTGTGATTCACTAATTTCACTCAGCATAATGTCCTCCAGTTTCATCCATTTTGTAAGGTTTTTCACAGATTCATTGTTATTCTTCTATGTTTCGTAGTATTCTATTGTGTGTATGTACTCAATTTTGTTTAACCATTCTTCTGTTGATGGGCATTTAGGCTGTCTCCATTTTTTTTTGAAGTATGTTTTGTAGAGAGCATATTGAAGGAGGATCCTGTTTCCCCAAGGCGTCATAGGGGAGATGTTAGTTATTACATCCAATGGATACCTTGGGACATTGTTATTGTTATTAAGTGCCGTAAAGTTGGTTTTGACTTACAGTAACCCTGTATACGGTTTCTGAGGAATGGTTGTTGGGTTTGAACCACTGACCTTGTGATTAGCAGTCCAATACTTATCTTATAGTGCCACACCAGGACTCATTGGGATGTTGTTGTTGCTAAGTGCCATTGAATTGGTTTTGACCCATACTGACCCTATGTATGATTTCCGAGGAGTGGCTGGTGGACTTAATAATTCTTTTGGGAGGGACCCTGGTTAGCTGAATGAGCTGTATGTAGTGAGTTAAATAGTATCTCCTAGCTCATGTCTACCTGGGCTTTCAGAATGGATTTTATTTGGAAGCAAGGTTATACTGGATTAAGGTGAGCCCAAAATCTAGTGACTAGTATCCTTCTAAGAATAGGGGACACACAGAGACACACATAAGGGGAAGACTTGTGAAGATGGTGGCAGAGATTGGAGTGATGAAGGAGCAAGCCAACCAATGCCCAGAATTGCTGGCAACCACTGAAAGTGTTGAAGATTCAAGGAAAGGTTCTTCTCTTGAAAGACCATTCAGTGGAGCAAGGTCCTGCCGACAGCTTGGTTTTAGATTTTTGAGAGAATACATTACTGTTGTTTTAAAGTACCCAGGTTGTGGTAATTTGTTTTGGCAGCCCAGGAAACGAATACATTGTATGTGTGGCAAGTTCTTAGATGGCTTGTAATGCTAATACAAAAAACATTTATTTTTAGATTACAGGTCCACCAGGCTGTGGGAAAACTCAGTTTTGTATAATGATGAGTGTTTTGGCTACATTACCCACCAACATGGGAGGACTGGAAGGAGCTGTTGTGTACATTGATACGGAGTCAGCGTTCAGTGCTGAAAGGTAGGAGAGCTGGTCACTTCCTCTAATAATGCTTTACTTTTGTCACTTCTGTTATGTGCCACTTGTAACATTTTATAAATTGGTTCTTTTCTTGTTGAGAATACAGAATGCTCGATATTGTTTGTAGGTTGAATTGTGTTCCCCAAAATACATGTTTGCGTGGCTGGACTGTGATTCTCAGTGGTTTGGCTGTTTTGTAATGATGAAATCTGCATGAAGTTATAAACCAATTTGAGGATTAATGATGGGATGTAACCACATTAATCTCTAGTCAGCCTTGATCTGATGTACAGTAGGCTTTCACAAGATCAAAGGAGAAAGAAATGAGCAGAGCTCAGAGGGACCTACTGTCACCTCTGAGAAAGAAGAGCCGGGTGGAGTGTCTCCTTTGCACCAGAGGTCCCATCACTATGAAACTCCTAGATCTGAGGGAAGATCGATGCCAAGACACACGGGAATCACCAAGGAATGCTGGGGCTACCGATGCTGAAAGGAGCCGAGGACCTTTCTTCAGTGCTGACAAAAGAGAAAACCTTCTTTTAGAGCCAGCATTCTGAATTTGGACTAGTCCACCAAACTAGAGGGAATACATTTTTATTCATTAAAACCATCCTTTCTGATATTTCTGTTATAGCAACACTGGATAACTAAGACACTGTTTTAAAGGAATTTCATTTTAAAATGGAAACAGGAAGCAGTTTCTTTTTGTCTTCTCTATTCTTTTCTTCCACCACTCGTTTGTCAGTTTGTTGTATTATGGTGGCTTATGTGTTTCTGTGATGCAACTAGCGAAGCTGTGCCAACAGTAATATATACCAGCAGGATCACCCCTGGTGGGCAGGTTTCAGTGGAGCTTCTAGACTAAGACAGATGAATACGGAATGGAATGTGGAAATTGTTGAACAATATCATTAATACCTCTTGAAAGTAAAATTTTGCTGAACATAGTGATTAAAAAAATAAAGTTTATAACATCAGCAAAGAACTGCCAGAAGTTCAAGCCAGATTCAGAAGAGAATGTGGGACTAGGGATATGTCAGAATGGATCTTGACTGGAAGCAGAAATACCAGAAAAATGTTTACTTGTGCTTTATTGCCTGTGCAAGGGTTTTCACTGTGTGGATCATGACAAACTATGGATAATAGTGTAAAGAATGAGTATTCCAAAATACTTAATTGTGCTTATTAGGAACTTGTACATAGTCCAAGAGGTTCACACAGAACACAGAACAAGGGGATACTGAGTGGTTTAAAATTGGGACAGGTGTGGACCAGTGTTGGATTCTTCCACCATGTGTATTCAATCTGGATGCTGAGCAAATAATCTCAGAAGCTGGATTATGGGGAAAAAAATGTGGCATCAGTATTGGAGAAAGACTTGATAACAACTTGTGATATGCAGATGATACAACTTTGCTTGCTGAAAGTGAAGAGGACTTAGAATACTTACTGATGGAGATCAAAGACCTCAGCCTTCGGTATGTACCTCAATATAAAGAAAGCAAAAGTCCTCACAACTGGACCAATAGATAGCATCTATATAAATGGAGAAAAGACTAAAGTTGTCAAAGACTTCAGTTTTCTTGGATCCACAATCATCACTCATGGAAGCAGCAGTCAAGGAATCAACTGACTTATTGCATTAGGCAAATCTGCTTCACAGATTTTAAAGTGTTCAAGAGCAAAGATACCAGTTTGAGGACTAAGGTGCACCTGATCTAAGCCATGGTATTTTAACTCTCCTCATGTGCATGTAAAAGTTGGACAATGAATAAGGAAGATGGTAGAAGAATTGATGCATTTGAGTTAATGGTGTTGGAAAAGAGTATTAAAAGTACCATGGACTGCCAGAAGAACAAACAAATCTATGTTGGAAGAAGTACAGCCAGAATGTTCCTTAGAAGCCAGGATGAGGAGACTTTGGCTTTCATACTTAGGACATATTAACAGGAGGACTTCCTTGGAGAAGGACATTGTGTTTGGTAAAGTGGAGGACCAGTGAGAAAGAGGACAACCCCCAAAGAGATCACTCAACACAGTGGCAGCAGCTATGGACTTAAATGTAACAACAATTGTGAAGATAGCACAAGACTGGGCATTGTTTCGTTTTGTTGTGCATAGAGTTGCTATGAGTCAGAACCCATTAGGTGGCACCTAACACCACCAATAATCCTTTTTTTATTGTTGTAAATGAGGTTCTTGGGTTAGTTGGATTTTGCTGAAAGTCAGGAAGAAAGCAGCTCAATAAACAGAGGAAGAATGTAAATAGAAAATGAGGAAGAGGGAATATTCATTAGAAACACAAAAAGTCTTCTGGTATACAAGTAATTTCTAGTTGGAGGTGCAAAATATTAGTGAATGGAAAATTGCAGATTTCCAATGTATGCAAAATCTTTTTGATTCAGTACTATTTTTACTTTAATCTTTGAAGTAGTGTGATATTAAGAGTTACATTGATAGTAAGTATATGTACTCTTGGGAAGAAAAGATTTTCTTAGTTTGGCAAGGACCACTCACATTCTATGAGAGAGACATTTGATCTTTTGTGAAATCCTATACACCTGAAGATAAATCTGTCCCCTAATCCCCATGCCCCCAACTCTGATTGGAATTCATAAGCAGGGTTGTTACACATTTGGAGACTGATTCCCTCATGTTCTCTTAGTCAAAGTATCATCCTTTTGGTCCGTTTTTACTTTGCCAGTATGAATCAGACTTTTTCCTTATTCTCTCTAAAGAGTACCATTTAGATGAAAGATGTTACCTGTCCACATATATTTCTTTTTACTTCTCTTGGTTTTCCATGTATTTTGAGTATATACCAGTGGTCTGGCCACTCATAGAGTTTATGTTTTATTTTTGTATCATCAAAGCCAGTGGCTGACAAATAGTGCTCACAAAATGTTTGCTAAGTGAATGAATTCACAGTTGTTATTCCCAGATTGTAGCATCCAGATAAGATTCTGGGTCTGGAGCAAGACGTTTTCAAGTTAGTCTGGAACATGCTGTCTTATAAGATGGTAAGGAAGCTATCAAACACTACTTAGTGGAGTGTTAGCAAGACCTAGGAGCCAACCTGAGGGACTGCTACTGTCCAAAGATGAACCAAATATAACAATAATAATAATAATGGAAGTTGATTAAAACACATGAAATAATGCTTACATTCATGAGTTTATAAGAATGTGAAGAAATGAAAAGCAAATCATCGGCCACCATTGCAGAATGCTGGAGAAACAACTCATTATTTTGAAAATCATTAAATAAAAGAAAAATAAAATATTCTCTATTTTTCCTATATGAATCAATGAAGAAGTAATACTAGAATATTGTCGCATTATAAACCCTAATTATCTAATGGATGTAGGTATCGAATATCAAAGCATCACAGAAATAGACCAGTGATTATCTACCTCCTGAGCAATCAAACCTGAATGTGATAGATTGTCTTCAGCTTCAACTAACAGTTTACATAGAGAAGAGAGAAGGAACGTATTAATCTACCCTAAGGGATGTAATCCACTGGAAATGACAAATTGAAGAGAAATGGTGTTGCATTCATTGTCATAAAGAACATATCCAGATCAGTCATGAGGTACAACGCTGTCTGTGATAGGATAATATCCATGAGCCTACAGGGAAGCCCAGTTAATACCACTATTATTCAAATTTACACACCAACCACTAAAGCCAGTGAAGATGAAATAGAAGAATTCTACCAACTTCTTCAATCTGAAATTGATCAAACATGCAATCAAGATTAATTGGTCATTACAGACAAGCAGGGTTATATGAAGAAAAACGTGGCATCAGGATTGTAGGAATGACTCATTAACAACCTGCGATATGTGGATGATACAACCTTGCTTGCTGAAAAGTGAAGAGGACTTAAAACATTTACTGATGAAGATCAAAGAGCACAGCCTACAGTATGGATTACATCTCAGTGTAAAGAAAACAAAAATCCTCTCCACTGGACCAATAAACAACATTCTTATCAAAGGAGAAAAGATTGAATTTGTCAAGCACTTCATTCTTCTTGGATCAACTATCAACACTCATGGAAGCAGCAGTCAAGAAATCAAACGACATATTGCATTAGGCAGATCTGCTGCACAAGACCTTTTGAAAGTGTTGAAGAGCAAAGATGTCAACTTGAGGACTAAGGTGCACCTGACCCAAGCCATGGTATTTTCAGTAACCTCATATGCATGTGAAAGCTGGACAGTGAATAAGGAAGACCTTAGAAGAATTGATGCTTTTGAGTTAATGGTGTTGGAGGAGAATATTGAAAGTGCCATGGGCTGCCAAAAAAACCCAATAGATCCATTTTGGAAGAAGTGCAGCCAGAGTGCTCCTTGGAGGCCAAGATGGTCAGACTTCGTTTCTTATACTTCAGACATACTGTCAGGAGGTACCAATTGCTGGAGAAGGAAATCATGTTTGGTAAAGTGTAGGGTCAGAGAAAAAGAGGAAGACCCCAATGAGATGGATTGGCCAAGTGGCAGCATCGATGGACTCAAGCGTGGCAACAGTAGTGAGGTTGGCCCAGGGTTTGGCAGTGTTTTGTTCTGCTGTGAATAAGGTTACTATGGGTCGGTACTGACTTGATAGCATCTAACAACAACAACAACAAGGGATGTAATATGAAAAATTCAGACTATGGAAAACTACAGAACAATCTGGTTTCTGAAAAAATTAAGGATAAGAGTTAAAAACAGAACAAAAGAAATCAAGAGTTGGAGGGGAACTTTAGATGAAAGGAGACTTAAGAGACATAATAATCAATTGCAATGTGATGAACTTAGTTGGATGACAAAACAAATGACAAAGACGAAAACAACAAAAACATCTAGGACAGCACTAGACATTTGAACACAGCCTATATATTTGATACTAAGCTGGTAAAGGCTCAAGTTATCTAAGTGAAAAGTACTTTTTAAAATGCCAGTTGCTAGCCTTTAACTAACACATAAAGTACGTATTAATTAGCCAGTTAG